GGTCCCTCTTTACTTCCACCTCATCATGGTTCTGGTTCAGACATCAGTGGCTCAGGGAGTGGGTGGGAGTGAGATGCAAAGTCACAGGGCCTCCCTAGAAGGACTGGCCACACAGGTGTCAGCAGGCAAGAAGCCCAGTCCAACCCGCGTACAGCAAATGGCCGCTCCACAGTCACTCCCCGGGGTCTTGGCCTGTGGCCTTCAGCAAGGTCGCTGTGTTTCAGTTGCTCCCTGAGAGCTTTCTGAGTGACCCTAAATGCTCCCACATTCCTGCAGTTGCTTTTTCCCGCTTCCCGGTGGCCTCATGAGAAGTACCAGTCTGTGATGGGTATGGTCTCTCCAGCACAGGTGGCTGGCCCACCCCCAGTCAGACAGTCCCCTCTGCGGGGGCTGCGGGCTCTTACCAGCACTGTGGTGACTATGAGTGACCTGTTAGTCAGGGAGTCAGTGACGTTGGGGCCTCGGCCCTTGGCAACCTCCGTGATGTTGAGTCCCTCAGCAGGACTCCACACCCCAACCTGGATGGACGGGCAGACAGAAACAGGGTCTAGGCATCTTGTTTCCATATCAACAATACCATCATCTCGTTCTTATTCATCATGCGTATCATCATCATCACTGTCATCGCTAACATGTTTGAGAACAACTGTGCTGCCTCCTCCTTCCCTGAGGAGGTCCTCAGGGTGTCTAGACTCCTGAATTCTTCCACCTTCCCTTGCTGGCAAATCCATCACTGCTAAAGGGAAAACCCAGAGGTAGATGATGAATGCAGAGGCAGCCCCAGGGAGCCCAGGGGAAACCAGCCTGTGGCTGCCAGTCTAGAGGCAAGCAGATGTCAACCACAGGTTGGGGGAGTCAGGAGCCCAGCTCAGTGATGGTGGGCCTCCATCTCCTGGGGAAGATCCTGAGCACCCAGCTGCTCGCTCACTGGGTCTCATACCCAGTGCCAGTCCCCGGGGGCAGGCTCCCCCAAAAGCCCAGGACAGGGACTGGAACAAGGAAAGTGTTCGATGACATCTGTGGAATGAGTAAACGGATGTTGAGCTGTGCAGGGGTAGGAGGCTGGCCTTTGTAGCTGAACAAGGAGGGGACGACCCTTACTGGGGACTTGGGATTCTGCTGGATTTGAAGGCAGTTTGCTTTGTGGTTTTACTTCTAAAGTTGGCAGATTCCCTGGCCAAGGTGGCATCATCCCTCTCCCCACAGTGTCCTTGTTGATATCAGGCCTGAGGCTGGAGGGTCAAGTTTACAAATTGTCCTAAAGCCCTGGGCCTCTTGAAGATCCTTTCTGACCCCGCTCTGCCCAGCTCTGTTCCATCTCAGCTCCTTTCTCTCAAGGAAGGTCTTGGCATGCTCACTCTGTCCTTGGCCCGGTTGGGTTGGGGTACTTGGGAAACTTAATCAATTAAACATAGAGGCCGAGTGCAAACATCTCATAAAGAGAGCTGAGCAAAGCAGATAGCAGAGAGACATGTAATTATGCTTAGGTAATTCTGCCTTAATCCTCTCAAAGCTACGGCTGGAGCTGGCTGGATCAGCTATGACCTGGCTCAGCAAACAGAAGTGATGATATGGGAGGCAGAGTGACTATGTTAGGGGCTCAGCACTCTCTCAGGGCAGGATCTCCACATCTGTGGATCATTCAGAGCCAAGAGAAAAGGAGACAAGCAGAACCAGAGAGGCTCTGCTCTCAAGTGGGCTGAGCTAAGAACCAAGCCTGTCTAGGGTGAGAGTGCCTAGCAGTGATCGGGAGCAGGAGGTGCTCAATAAATATATGTCCAGAGGCCAAATGAACAGCAGGAACCCTTGCCCCAGCAAGCATCTATTGAGCTCCGACGGCATGCCCTGCTAGACTACAGGTGCTGCGGCAATGGGAGAACAGTTACACTGAGGAGGATCCAGCTGCAAGGCCAGGCTTCAGAGGCTCTCTGCCCACAATCCAAGTGGCTGTGATCAGGTGCATCTGGTGGGTGCCTCTGCAGGCCAACCTTTATTCAGGAATAGTAGAGAGAGTTTTTCTTGAGTATTAACTATGGTCAACTTGTTATAGTTGCCTGGAGGACTGTTGGGAGAAGGATTCTGATATTGCAGAAGGGCTCAGATGGAAAGAGTGCTCTGATATCAATTACTGTTGCCTGCCATGGACATGGGAGTGGGGAGTGGTAGTATGTGTGCCATCTAATTGCCGTCCCTAGACTTTTAGCCTTTCCTCAGAGACGGGTAGCTGAGAGAGCAAAAATGAGACGCCTACTTGAGTGAATCCTGTATTTTAGTAGTCCTGCCAGAGGAGGAAGTGAGTTCTCTGTCATTGGAGGAGTTTAAGCAGAAGCTGCAAGATCACTTGATGAGAACTTATATAGTTTGTATAGGATTAGACCAGCTGGCCTCAATGATCTTATGAGTAGAGGCCACAGCCCTGTCCTTAGGAACGGATACTATATGTGGCATGGGATAGTTGCAGATGAATGACGAGGTCCCTCTGGCCAACCCCTCTCCTGCACAGCAGCACCCATGTCGTAGGTGGGAAATTCAGGGGTGAATGGAGTAACCATGGTCACAAGGTGCACTGAGTGAATCCATGCCTGAGGGATTGAATGAAGGAGACAGAGGTCACATGCTGCAGCCAGGGGAACAGTGCAGGCAAAGATGGGAGGTGCAGAGGACAGGGAGCTTGGCTGGACTATGGAGTCTATTTCAGGGAGCAGTGGCGATTAGGTCTGGAGAGGCAGATTGTGGCATTTCTTGGAGAACCTTAAGGGCTAGGTGAGGGGTCAAAACTTAATGGTCGGGCACCGGGGAGTCACTGGAAGTTTCAGGGCAGGGGAGAGCAGTACTTTGGGAAGCTATGTCTGCAGGTGCACTTGGGACCACTGGAGAGTCCAAGAGTGGAGGTGGGACAACCAGGTCAGCAGTGGGAAGCCTGAAGCGGGGCAGTGAAGGGGAGAAGAAGAGAGCCACCAGTCCCAAAGGCCTAGGGGCATCAGAGGTGGCCCTCCACTTTTCCTGGCCTCCACTGGCTGCATTTGATACACCACTTCCCAGGGTCCCAGAGGTGCACCAATGCAGAGGCATAGTGAAGCGGGGGCCACCGAGAGGGGCACTTGCCCCGGGGTGCAAGTCCAAGGAGGCACCAGACAAGATGGGGAATGACACGTCAAGGCACCACAAATATGAAAAGTGCCCGGTTGAGGCAGCCAGACAAAAGGGATGAGTCGTTCCAGCTGACACGTCGCCACTAGTCTATTCATCTTGAAATTTAGGGGGGTGAGGCACAACTTAGAGATTGCCCCCGGGGGCTCGAATTGGGAGAGGCGCAGTTTAGAGATTGCCCCTACACCGATGGTTACCTGGGACCTGCCTGCTCAGGTCCTAGGGGATACTGAGAAGCTGGGGTTGATGTTAAAGTCTTCTCAGCCCAGTAGACTGACTTTGACAGAATATGCAGAGGGTCCCCAGGGATCAGAACTGGCCTCACTACAGACATTTCCACATTAGCCAGAGAGGAGGCTCCAGGCCCAGGTGGGGCTGTTTGTCCTCTACCAAACTCCCAAGAATAATAGAGGCCTTAGAAGTCTGGAGCGGGGAGCTCAGGATCCATGTGCTTCCAAGGGTAAGGATCACCTCCAGTCTCCCCGACGAGTTATCATCCTATCTTTGCTTAAATACTGCCAGCAACAGGGCGTTCACTACTCCTCAGACAGGCACTGCTTGATTGTTAGAAAATGTTTCTTATCTAAGGTGTCCCTCTGCCCCATGACAGCCTTGCAAGGATTTAAAGACAGTCTGTCCACCCCTTGAGCCTTTTATTACTTTTCCCAGGTTAAGCTCCCCAACAGCCCTTGCTCACAGGATGATGTTTTTGTGTCTGCTGTGGCCAGGCCACGGGGCATCCCTCCAGTCTGACCAGGACTTTGTGTTCTCTGACGGGCCCACAGATCTACTGAGGCACAGGCCACACCAGGTCATGTTCATCCCTGAGAGGGCAGCTGGATTGGGTCCTGCCCCCTCCCTCTAGGCCTGTGCTTGGGGTCCGCGGTATAGGGGATTTAGGAAGCCCCTGCCCCTTTGCCCAGCCTCCCTCTCCCGTGCCCACGCACCTTCTCCAGGCCATCCTCCTTCAGGCTGACAATGTCCAGATCGAAATCCGTCCGTAAGCCACTGGTTTTGTTGAAAACAATCCTTCCAGTTAATCCTTCCCATTGAGCCTGCCGGAGGGGAGAGGGCAGAGCGGCAATTCCTCGGGCTCATAAATCATCATTCGGTACAACTGTACAATGCTTCATTTTAATTACTCCTTGCACTGATACTGTTCCCCCAAGACCATGATTAATTAATAATCACCTCCATCATTGCTCGGGCTGTGGTGCGAGCCAGCGATTTCCATAAATTCTATTATGCTCTTTAGCCAGCTTTACATTTGCACCTTCTCGTGTACAACATCGATCTTGGATGTGCCCAAATGAGCCCCCGCCTTGAAGCCATGGGAAGGGGGAGCCTGTGTCAGATCCCTAGGCAGGGGCAGGGCTGGGGATGGTGAGCCCTGCCGAGAGGCCAAGCAAGCTAGATTTAGCTGTAAATCCAGACACTTCCAGCAGCCCCCAAGAGGAGCAGGGGAGACAGTCATCCCCACCGCCCCAGCTCCAGATCCCCCAGAACTTTGGGGTCAGATCACTGGGCTCAACCACAGTGAACTGTGTGACCTTGGGTATTTCATTTCACCTCTCTGCCTCTGTTTCCTCTCTATAAAATGGAACTAATAATAGTATCTAGCTTACCAAAAAGGTGCCCTGGTGGCACAAGGGTTAAGTGCTCAGCTGCTAACTGAACGGTTGTTTGTTCACCCAGTGGCTCCATATGAGATAAGACCTGGTGATCTGCTCCCGTAAAGACTACAGCCTAGAAAATCCTACCCGGCAGTTCTATTCTATCACATGGAGTCGCTATGATTTGAAATGCACGCAATGGCAACGAACAGCAACAGCTTACAAAAACGCTGTGAGGGGTAAATGAGACAAGTCATGTAAAATATTTAGAACAAAGCCTGGCACATTGAATAAATGGTAATTCTGTTATCTTTTTACCGTCATTAGCATTGCTAACACAGAGAGAGGCAGGCACAGGTTCAGAGAAGGTACAGGCAGGGCCTCAAACTGGTTTGTTCTGGTTCGAACCCCTGCTGGGAATCTGCATTTCTTAACAAGTTCCCAGGCAACGCTAATGCTGCTGGTTAGGGACCAATTCTGAGAACCGCTAGTAGAGCAGTGGTTCTCAAAATTTATTATACATAAGAATCACCTGAGGAGCTTATTAAACTGTAGATTCAGATTCAGTATATCTGGGGTGGAAATGCAAATTCTTAGCAGGAGTTTGAACCAGAACGAACTGGTTCGAAGCCCTGGGTACAGGACCCAAACCAAGAATAGCTCCACCTTCTAGATGAGGGGTCAGCTTGCCCTATTTTTGTAAAAAAAGTTAATCGGAGCACCAGCCATGCCCATGTTCGTGAACCATCTGTGGCTGCATTTGCGCTGCCCCGAGGAGGGCAGCTGGTTTGAATAGTCGCAACAGAGTTGGTCTGGCCTGCAAAGTTTAAAATATTTACTATCTGGTCCTTTACAGAAAAAGTCTGCCGACTCCTGTTCTAGATAATCTCTTTCTTGTGGGTCCAGGGCTTTAATTCTACAAGGTACTTTCACATGTTCCATCTCATGCAACATTCACAGCAGCCCTGGGGGGCGGGGGACAGGCAAGGACTATGACTCCCACTTTACAGATGAGGAAGTGGGCACTCAAGCCCACAGAGGGAATAAGAGGCAGAGCCAAATTAGAACTCAAAGTCCCCTCAGGCCGGTGTCGACGCCCCTCCTCTTCTACAGAGTTAGGACCCGCCCACACACAGTTAAATGCCCAAACGCTGCTGTGAGCTCTCTGTGTCCGGAAGAAGAAAAAACCCGTGCATCCTGGAGTCCTTGGGGACAAAGGTAGGCTCGTGAGCAAGAGGAGAGGAGAACATCTGGGAGCTCACCCAGCTGCTGGATCCTTGGGCCAGAGGGAGGAGCGGGGAGGGAGCCCCCCAGGAGAGGCGTGTGGGACAGCAGAAGTTCTGAGTGTTGAAAAGCTGAGTGTGAGTCCTTGCTGTGCTGCATTGGGTTCCTAATCTCACTAGGGTGATGATCCCTTGCAGATTCTGAAAAGAGCTCCAGAGCCCTCCTGGGCTGAATGTGCCCCTGCACCCAAGCACACACTCTCAACTAGACACACAGATCTCTGGATCCCAAACTAAAGCCCTCGGAAATCTCCAAGAACTTGGGTGGTTCCAAAGTACTGTGAAGTCTTCTGGATTAATGGCTAGCGGGGTAAACGGGTACACAAAATCAGGCAGAGGGCAGGTATCTTGTAGGGGTCCAGGAGTCTATAAAACAAAAATGGTTAAAAATGGGGGCTTTGGACAAGCGATTTCACCTCTGAGCTTCAGTAGGGGAAAAATGACCTACTTCACAGGTATTCAAAAAAGGTCTCTAAAGTGCTTAAAGGAGTCCTGGTGGCTCAAGGATTAAATGCTTGACTGGTAAATGAAAGGTTCGGGGTTCGAAGACACTCAGCAGGGAGAAAGACCTGGAGATCTGCTCCTGTAAAGATTACAGCCTAGAAAACCCAATGGGGCAGTTCTGCACTGTCACATGGGGTCACTATGAGTCGAAAATTGGCGTCACCTATGAATGGAAAATGGACTCAATGGCACGTAACGACAACAAAGTGCTTGGCGCACAGATATACGCGCATACCTGTTGCCGTTGAGTTGATTCCAACTCATAGCGACCCTGTAGGACACAGTAGAACGACCCCATAGGGTTTCCAAAGAGTGGCTGGTGGATTCAAACTGCTGACCTTTTGGTTAGCAGCGAAGCTCTTCACCACTGGGCCACCAGGGCTCCGCGCTTGGCACAGTGCCTGGCTTATACAATCAACATACAACTGTACGCAATCATTACAGCAGTATGTATACTATTGTTTCTTCTCTGTTCTTTCACCTGTGGAGCGCTCTTGGCTGAGGGCTGGCCCTGGGCTCAAGTTTCTTTAGATCTTTCATCGTTGCCAGCCCAGCTGAGCACCTTGGTCCTGCTTGAGGCTGGGACTGTGGCTCAGGAACCCCAAACACTCCTATATCCGTGTTACAGATTGAATTGTGTCCCCGCAAAATGTGTGCTGTAAATCCTAACCCCTATACTTGTGAATGTAATCTCATTTGGGAATAGGGTTCTCTTGGTTATGTTAATGAGGTCATTATCAGTATTATAGGGTGTGTCTTAAATCAATCACTTTTGAGATATAAAAAGAGCAGATTGGACAAAGAAGCAGGGAAGCACAAATGATGATTGATGCCACGCGATCACCAAGGAACTGAGACAGAGAAACTGAAAGAGACAAGGATTTTACCCCACAGCGGACGGAAAGAGCTTTTCCCTAGAGCTGGGGCCCTGAAGTTGGACTTCTGGCCTCCTAACCTATGAGAAAGGAGCCCTGGTGGCACAATGGTTAAGCACTTGGCAGCTAACTGAAGTCAGAGGTTCCAGCCCACCAGATCTGGTGATCTGCTCCCCCAAGAATTTCAGCCTAGGAAACCCTACAGGGCAGTTCTACTCTGTCCTATGTGGTCACTGTGAGTCGGAATTGACTCAATGACACAACTAACTACGAGAAAATAAATTTTTGTTAAAGCTACCTACTTGCGGTATTTTTGTTGCAGCAGCACTAAGAAACTAAGACAATCCCAGAGCTCAGGAATGGAGCTGCAGCTGGACCTCTGTAGTGGGGTCCTGCTTCTGGCCCAGGCACCCAGGGAGCTGTCCTTCTGGGTGGATGGAAGAGAGGCTGAGGGCAGGGGCTCATCTGGGGCAAGGCTGAGGCCCCAGGAGAAACCCTAATCTCCTCTCCTGCATAAGCTTATTTAGTTCTTTCTCATCATAGTCCTGCCAGGTGGGTGTCATCACTGTCCCATTTTACAGACATGGAGACTGAGGCTCAAAGAGAGACTGAGTGATGATGTAGCAGGGCAGATTCCCTCGCTGCTGTAGCAGAGCTGAAGCGCTTGGGGTTGTGGTCCCCCAGGTGGGGTGGGGGAGCTTACACGCAGCCCAGGGAGCTGAGGCCCAGGAAGCTGAGGCCCAGGTGTCTGTGGACTACGATTAAAAGAAGTGTCAGAAAAGGTGAAAACCACTGTTTATGACTTCACAGGGAGGCTCAGCTTCCCTCAGGCTTCCCGGTCCCTCAGCCTTCCCTCTCTTCTGTTGGCCCCCACACCCTCGGGCTATCTCTTAGCCCCCAGGGGAAATCACAGCGGGTGCCTTCAAAACTGCACCAAGAGGAAAGCCTTCTCTCTTTGTCAGCTACAGAGGAATTAAATGCCAGCAGGTGCACGGCCTGTCTGTGGGCAGGTGGGCAGGGGCAGGGCAGGGAGCCACTGGCAGCTCCTCCCCTTGACATTTCCCGGCCGCCCGCCCCCTTCAGCCGCTGCGCAGCACTTGCTAAATGAAAGATGCTTCACACGCTCTGAACTCCGGCCTGGTATTTTCCAGCTCCTCTCGGAAATGCCAAGTCTTTAAAATGATTTACTGTCATGCAGTCACATGAGGAGATGGGCAACTTGGAAATGGTCTGCAGGAAGACAAAGTGCTGGGCTTGGGCAGGGTACCGGGCTCCGGGCATTGTGGGGCACTCATGCCATCCTGGCCAGCTGGGGGAACCACAGGCCAGCCACGAAGCTGTCTGGGCCTCGGTCTCCACGCTGGAAGATGGAGATGAGATGAAGCTGTTTCTAAACGGGCTCTGTTAAGGAGCACAAGAGGTGAAGGGCACCACTGGGTCAGGGACCGGGAAACAAGAGGGTCAGGAACGCCAACCTGGGCTGGTCAGCCTGGGGAAAGAGAATGGGGGTCCCCTTTATGGAGCAGGCAGTGGCAAATCTGCTCCCTTCAGGGTATCACAGGGGGCATTGGTGGTTCAGTGATAGAATTCTTCCCTTCCATGTGCGAGATCTGGGCTCAATTCCTGGCCAATGCACTTCATGCACAGCCACCACCTATCTGTCAGTGGAAGCTTGCGTGTTGCTATGATGCTGAACAGATTTTCAGCAGAGCTTCCAGACTAAGACGGACTAGGAAGAAAGACTTGGCGATCTGCTTCTGAAACTCAGCCAGTGAAAACCCTATGGATCACAAGGCTCCAATCCACAGTTGGCCATGGGGATGGCGCAGGACCAGGCAGTGCTTGGTTCTGTTGTGCATGGAGTCACCATGAGTGGGGGGCCAACTCCATGTCAGCTAACAACAACAGGGCATCACAGCTGATACTCAAACACTGCAAGGGATGAGGGGAAAATGGGATAGGTTTCCCTGAAGCCTCATGAACAATGTGACCTGGCGGGCTTTTGTAGCTGGAAACCTCGCCAAATAATAGCAATAGTGACAACAGCAGTGATGATGGAAATAATTGTAACAGCAGCCAACTTATAAGGCACTTACTATGTGCCAGGCACTGTACTAAGTGCTGCACCCACATCCTAATGACTTAACTCCTCACACAGTCCTATGAAATACAGACCATCATTATCCCCATTGTGCAGATGAGGATACTGAGTCATAAGCAGTTCAGTAGCTTGTCTAAGGCCACACAGCTAGAAGTGACTGAGTTAACTGCAACATCGCTTTGGTTTGGCTCCTAAGGCTGCCAATCTCCCCACTGAGCCCAAACCTCCCCGCAGAGGGAGAGGGCAGGATTGTGGCCTGGGTCACAGAGACTTTTGTGGCTGCTTGGGAGGAGCAGGTGGCTGGGAGTTGGGCTTCAGAGGCCCCAGCGAACAAGTTGGTGACCACCCAGCCCTTGCTCAGGGCATCGGTACAACTGTACTTCATCTGCTGTTTTGATGGGTTTGACAAGAAAGGACAGTCATGGTCCTCTTATACCAAAACATCTGACACTCAAGTTCTTTCTAGATGCTGAGGAAACTGGCGTCAAGGACTTAACTGCATCATTGCTCCTCACAATGACTATGAGGCAGTGTTTTCCAGGTGAAGAAACTGACGCTCAGAGATGTACAATAACTTGTCTAAGGCCACACAGCTCGGCAGAGGTAGAGCCAAGATCTAAAGGCTCATGCGTCAAACTCTAAAGCCTGTGTCTTATCAATATCCTTTTTAATGTCTCTTTAAATGCTGCAAGAGCTGTCATTAGCTTCTTCCTGAAGCAGTAACAGTAGATTCAGGGCTCAGGGAAGGCTGCCCTGCCCCCTGAGTCTAAGATGGTAAGCTCCTCTGCTATTTGCTCCTGGAGAGCTGCCTTTCTTTCCACATGGGATTATATTTATTATGGGATACTTTGATTAATGTCTGCCCCCTCCCTAGGCTGTGAGCTCTGTGAGAGCAGGGGCTCGTCTGTTTTATCCCCATGTGTCCCAAGGGCACAACCCAGAGCCTGGCACCCAGCAAGCATACAGTAAATAGTTGTTGAACAAGTGAATGACCTCCAAGGCATCCCTTCATTTCCGGTCCATTGTGGTTGTTACAAATGGAGCCCACAGAGAGAGCTTCCCCTAACTGCCCTTGATGTTGCCCTGGATATGGCCACTCCCTCTGACCCTAGACAACTCTGCCCAGAACAGAAGCCAATGCTCTCATCCTCCTGAGCCTTCTCCTTCTACCATTTACTGGGATTTGACTCTGGCCAGGTCCTGTGCTAGGTGCTTTGTGCATAGCTTTTCAGGCAGACACTCTTACTATCCCCATTTTACAGTTGAGAAAACTGAGGACCAGAGAGTTAATCACCTGACCCAAAGTCACACAGCTAGCTAGTTAGCTCAGGCGCTATCTTCCCCATCTGTACGGGAGGAATAATAAACCCTGCTGTCCATAGTTTACAAAGACAGTGGCAGATGGAGAAATTAAATGTCAACACTGCGTTTTTCCATGGTCATCTCCTTCTCGTTCTCTCTGCTTCCTCTGAAAACGGCTCCATGCACAGAACTTCCCTGCAGTTGCCATAGCACCAGCAGAGCTGGGTCTAGCAAGGACCCTGGCTGGAAAGTTGTCCCGTGGGCCCATGACGTGAAGATGAGTTTGTGGGGCTGATTTATTTACTGAGCCTCTTTCACCTCAGGCACTGCACTAAGCACTTTCCCCGCGGTGTCTCATTTCATTTTCCCAGCACACCCGTGAGGTGGGCATGCTAAGTACCCCCGTTTTACAGATAAGGCGACCGAGGCTCAGCAAGGTTCTCCAGCTTGCCCAAAGTCACGCAGCTGGGAAGCGAAGACTCCATTTGTACTTTCAAGCCCACGCCGCATACCTGTGACAATGCTGACCACCAACTGATACCTACTATGTGCCAGAGACTTAAGCCTCTTAATTGCCTTGTAAGACTGGTCATCTCCAGCCCATTTCACCCAAGGAAACTGAGGCTCAGAGATGTGGGGTAACTTGCCCAAAGTCATATAGATTGGAAATCAGCTCTGACTCGCACACCTGGGCCCTCGACTGATTTGCGGCACCAACAGTCCCCAGGGAGATGGCCCTAGGGGGGCATGTGGGGGCATGCACTCACCTCCTTGATGAAGTTCATGAAGCGGCCGCCAAAGCGCCAGGCCTTGTGCCGATGGCACTGCAGGGAGTTGACGGTCATCTGGGGCGCCCGCTGGTAGCACACGGATACGATGTGGACAGCGTCGTAGAGTAAGGCTGCGTCGGTCTGGAGGTGAGGGCCGGGCCTGCCTGAGAGTGGCTGCCGAGCCCCTCGAGTCCTGGCCCACCCAGCCCTGTTCCCCTTTCCTTCCCCACCACAGGCACATGGTATCCCAGTGAGGGCAAGAGCCTGAGGCCCTAGACGTGACCTGTCCACGCCTCTGCAGGGAGGCCAGGGCTCGGGCCAACTGCAGCCCTGCAGACACCTCCACTCGCACCCTTTGCAGCTAGGCCCTGCCTCCATCCCATTACCCCACACTGGTACCTACTTCCCGATCACCCTTTTTCTTTCCTGTCACCCAGTCTGCACACCTGCTGCGTTGTCTGTCTGGAATCTCCTCCCAGTCAACTCCACGCATCACAGCCTACAGTTCTCTGTGCCCAGGGCCCACCTGTCTTAGACCCACTGCTCTGTAACCATCTACTTACACACCTGCATCCCACCACACAGGGGCATCTTGGGAGAGGGCTATGTCTGATTCATCTTTGTGTCCCCAGCCTCTAGCCCAAGGTGGGGCTGACACATGGCTGGTCTTAAGAAGGGAAGTGGTGGGAGGGAAGTAAGAAAGAAGGAAGAAGGACAGAAGAGAAAAGGAAGGAGGGCAGGCAGCCTCTGGGGTCCTGGTCCACCCCGTTGTACCATCATCACTCCATCCAACAGGCCCGACTCTGCTCGAGGAGCTGCCTGCAGCCGCTCCATGGACCACTTCTCCACGATGGCTGAGACGTGGGGGTTGTCCACGTTGAGGATCCGGAAGCCCGTCAGGTTGACCCCTGAGTAGCGGTAGGGCTCCAGGTCTAATGCATAAAGATCCTTGACAAAGAGAAGGTTGTGTCAGTGAAGGTCTGGCCCCTCTGTGAGTGCCAGCTCCCACCTCTCCTGCACAGTCCCAAGTTCGGCCACTGCCCCAGAGCCAGAGGCTGCAGCTCCTTGTGGAGCCCAGTGGGAGGAGAGGCGGTCAGAGTGGTGATGGGAGCACTGGACTTGGAGTCTAACTTGGAACTTGGGTCTTCCTGACAACTGACCCCATGTCCTAACCGCAGGGCCTTGGGCAAGTCACTCAGACTTTTTCCTTCATCTACAAAATGGGGATCGTACCTCCTTTACAGGACTTGGTGAAACAATTCACGTGAAATGTCCAGCCTTGCACATCCAAGAAGCTTGGTAATGCTCATTTCCTCTGACAGGGGAGGCCCACTTGGGGAAGACAAAGGGTGCTGCGTCTGGGCATCCCCAAGATACCCAGAGGGGGGCTGAAAGGAATATTCTATCCCTGACCCCCCAAAAAAACAGTTACTGTTGAGTCGATTTCAACTCATGGTGACCCAGTGTGTGTCAGAATAGAACTGTGCTCCACGGGGTTTTCAATAGCTGATTTTTCAGAAGTAGTTTGCCAGGCCTTTCTTCTGAGGCACCTGTGGGTGGACTCGAACCTTCAACCTTCAGTTAGCAGCTGAGCAGGTTAACCATTTGCACCATCCAGTGACTTCATTATATCCCCTCAAAGAGGGTATTTTGGAATAGTCTTTTCTGTCTAGGACTCAAGGAGTACTACTGCCTTCTTCTCTCTCTTCCTCCTCCACAGGGCCTCCTCACCTCCAGCCTCCTAGGAGCAGCTGACCGGGTAGTAGGCCTGTCTGTGATCTTGGTCATACCCAGCCTGGGGCAATGGTCCCCTGGCCTGAGGTCCAGGAGAACAGGGCTTAATGCCTGGGGAAGCCCAGCACCAGCCCCTCACTGCTGCTCCAGCTCTGGGGCCAGGTGGGCTAGTGAGGGAAGGAGGCAAAGAGGAGCACGGGGGTGGGGGGCACAGAGGGGCAGAGAGAAGCCAGGTCCCAAGCTAAGAAGAGATGGCAGAGGAGGATGTGGTAGGTGGTAGTAAAAGCAGCAAACTAGAGCTCTGTGCTGTTAAGTAAAATTATCCAAAACTTGGAAATAGGCAATGGGATAGCAGCACATCCTTTCAATGTCCTATTGAAACACTGTTTAACAGGTCCACCTGAGGATTAGTTTAATTCTGTGGGAGAGTCGACCTAGGTTTGACTTCACTGTCAGCTACTGGCTAAAGGCCCAGACTCTGGGTTAATTTGTAGATTTCTGTCCAGTAGAAAAGATTATCCTAAAGGTGTTGTTTTATTGCTCTGAAAGACATTAATTCTTCTGCATCTAACATAGGAGCTCTGGTGGCACAGTGGTTAAAGCAACTGACTGCTAACCAAAAGGCTGGTGGTTCAAAACCACTAACAGCTCTGTGGGAGAAAGATGTGGCAGCCTGCTTCTGTAGAGACTTACAGCCTTGGAAACCCTGTGGGATTATTACGTGTTGGAATCAACACAAAGGCAGTGGGTTTTGGGTATCTAATATAACAATCTTATTCTGTTGTGTTCCCCCCCAAATACCTATAAATACCCAATTCCTCACATGCTCTTTGAACCAGCCATTTCATATTTACATGAGAGTTATGTTTTTGACTTTTCGAAAATTATACTTTGACAGTCTAGACTGGCCCCATCCCACTAATGGAGCAACTGAGTCTAAAGGCCATCATCTGAGCTCTTCCTCATCTAGTGCCTGTTCTTTTACATTCTCTCCCCCCACCAACCTGTCTTCTGCCCTGGTCCCCAGCCCACCTTCTTCTGAGCTCCTCCCTTCAAGTCTCCCCATCCTGTGCTGGGAGACAGAGTAGCTGAAGACACACTGGACTTATCTCCATGGCTGCAGCCATCAGGAGTAACATCCAACCCCAATGCAGGGCCCCAGCTTCTGCTAAATCAATGATGGCTCATGGAAAGATGATGGGTAATAAAACCTGTGGCCCACAGAGCAGATCTTTCACACTTCCTCTCGCTCTGAGATGTTCCTAATCGATGCTAAACTCCTCTTGTTCCTCCTGCACTCCAACATGGCCTGCTTCTGGAATGCACTGTGTTGGTTTCCTCTTGGAAGGTTTGGGGAGTAGGGCAGAGCCTTGGAGCAGACTTGAGCCCAGGCAAGAAAGTTAGTCCCAACCTTTCCCAACCAAATATGGCCCTGATTCCAGGTCAGGATTTGGGATGGGGATGGGGGTGGATGAGAGCAGGAAATAAGGTCTGCAGCAGATGCGAGTGGACTAGAGGGTGGCTATATGGCCCAAATATCAGTGGGGAGTGAAGGGTGGGTGCCATGCTCAGCCCTGCACACGGAGTATATTAATTTTCATAACCCCTAAAAAGTATTTAACAGTATTATCATTTTACAGAGGAGGAAACAGAAACAGAGAAGTGAGGTGACTTGTGCAAAGTCATCAGCTTGTAGAAGGCAGGGCTGGATTTGAAACAGGTCTGCTTCAATGGTGTGCTGGAGCTGCCTCATGCTGGCTTGTGACTGCCACTGTTAGCATTTATTCCCACTCTGTGTTCAGTGATATTAGTTTAGTAGCTTGACATTGGTGGGAATATTTACACCAGGGAAATTGGCAAAATCTACAAATCAGGGTTATTAAATACTTACTAGCCCATCATTGTTTGCTTTAGTCAAAAATCCCTGTGGTCTCTGTCCCAGTGGTTGTCAAATATAAGATAAGCATCAGAATTATCTTTGGAGCTAGAAAGTCTGATTCAGAGTCCAGAGTGAGGCTGGGTAATCTGTGTTTTGAGAAGCTACTAATCTAAGCCACGTTTCCTGACTGGAAAACAACACAGGAGTCTGGGCTTAGACCCAAATACCTGTAGAGTCAGAAAAAAGCAGAGAGGAGGGGGTCAAACACCCAAAGGAGGCTTCTCTTCCCACAGCTCCCCACTCCGTAACAGCTCACTGGGGTACCATGAGGCAGTGTTAAGAGCAAAGACTAAGAGGTCAGACCATCTAGGTTAAGTCTCATTGACTCCTCTTACCTCAGTCTTCCCATCTGCAAAATGGGTATGATGATAATAGTACCTACCATATAAAGTTGTCATGAGGAAGAAATGGATTAATAGATGTATTTATCACATATTAAACACTATGTGTTTGCTAAATATTTATATCCCACCTTCTCTGGCAATCAGATGCGACAGCTATTGGATACAGTGCCCAAGGACATTATTAGGTTACTTGGGCTGGGGGCAGACATGGGTTGGGTCCTCTCTGCCTTACCCTTCTTGGCAATATAAAAATAATGATAATGAGCTAACATTTATTGAGTACGTATAAACCTTAGGAGAGTAGGTACTGTTTTAAATGTCTTATATGTATTAACTTACTTAATTCACATTACAACCTTACAAGGAGGGTGTTATTACCACCCCATTTTACAGACAAGAAACTGAGTCACAAAGAAGTTAGGTCTTTTGCTTAAGGTTACACAGCTGGGGAGTTATAGAGGAAACCAGGCAGATCTGCCCCAGAGCTCCGTCTCCCCTCTGACAGTGTATTCCTCCCCTCCCACCTACAGCCTCTGACCATTGGCCTCCCACGTGTACCCCATGGACATTGTAGTCACCCTCCACGCAGTAACCAGAGGGACCTTCCTGAAATGTAATTCCAGCCCCATCATTCCCTTGCTTAAAAGATTTCAACCGCTCCTTATTGCCTTCTTGGAATAAGTGCAAATTCCTCAGTATAGTTTACAAAGGTCTCTATCCCTCCAATCTCATTCTCCTTCCCACCCCCTCCCAATTTTTGCTCCAGAAACACCGAACTTCTTTAGGCCCATTCCTTGCTGCCCTTGCTCCAACATGCAGTTTCTTATCCCTGGGCCCTGTGTCTTTGTGCATGTTCGACCAGCTAGCTGAAATGCCTGACTTACTTCTCAACCCCTTTTAACTGGGCTAGTCTCTAAGATTCAGCTCAAGTGTCACCTCTTCTGGCAAGCCTCCCTTGACTACTCCTTTCACAACAAGGTGGATAAACAGCAGTGCTTCTGCTCTGATCCTGGGACCGCTCTGCTTTCACCCCACAGGATGACAACTGTCTGTGCCTGTGTCTGTCTTCCCTTTAGTCCCTGGGCCAAATGCTACTGTTACCCATAGTGGGATGAGGGGAGAGACAGCCAAGTAGCAGCCTGGGACTCCTAAACATCACCAGGAAGATCCTAGAATGGAAAGACTAGTGTTTCACATCCTCCACTCATGGGGAGCTCTCTATGGGGCTGGAAGTTAGGTATGGTTTAGAAAGCTGCTGGGGTGGAGGATGAAACCTGCAGAGGGACGGCTTCAGAAACAAGAGGTCTCCCCAAACTGCCTTTGAAGAAGGTGAGTCTGGGGAGCTGCAGTGCTTTTGTTTTGCAGAGTGGTACATGCAAGTTTAGGGCCAGAGCTGAACTGCTAGGGCCTTGGAGGAGAGATTGAGCTCTGCCTCCAGAGGGCACCCTCCTGACCCTTCCGCTGCACAGGGCTCAGCCCCTCCTCCAAATACATGTTGACCTAATATCTAAGATTTGAAAGATGCCAAAGCATTAATTAGCCTGCTGAAGCTCTTAATGACTCAGTTTATACCTCCTCTGGGACCAGGGGCCAACCTGACTCAGTGTGAAGGGTGGCATCTCATCTGATGGGGGATGGGGTGCTGGTGACACTGGCCCTTCCGGTCTCCTGATGTGGCATTTGGTCTGTTGAGATTTACATAGAGACTGTAGCCAATCACAGCCTGGGAGGGGGCATGATAGGGCGGCAGTGCTGGGGGTCACCTCCCCTCCATATTGCCGCAGAGCCCGGGCTTAGCTGCAAAGAGTTACAGAGCTCAGGGCACTGAGTGCCCCCGTCCCTGTGAAACGAGGGCAGTGAGAACAGGGAACTGGTGAAGAGGCCTCTTTTGTCCAGCTCCAATTTTTTGTCCAAACTGCCCTGGGCCGAGA